GCATCATATCAATTTAGTTTTTACTTTCTTTGTTTTTAAAGCCAAAATGCATCCAAGCGTCTGACTTGAAATGTGATGGAACCGCGGGGCAAATTTTCATAGTGTCCTCCATGTTTTGTTTATGAATGAAATGCTTGTGACACAAAGCAGCGGGCGTCAACACATCCGCAGCAACATCCACTGGACTGGAAGTTGTGTTCCATTTGTTTTTGGCTGATGTGCGCCAAACATTTGTGTATTTTATTTAATCCTTTTTTTAAGTTACAAATCCATACTTGGCGTCAAGAATCAATGCAGTAGAGCACAAAAATAAGAATCGCGATGCCTCGTCATGACGATTATTTTGCACACTCCTAGTAGCTATGCCGTAGGAGGTTGGATGTGTTACTTTGGGTAGTCCGTTTTCAGGCTAACTTTGCATTTCTTATTGTTTTGCTCAGCATCTCTGGTGTAATTTTGGTGCCACTGAACTGAGCGTGCAGTGAGAATGATGTGAATCGTTTAAACTCGCACACCTGATGTTATTAGTTTAATGCTGTGTTAGATGCTTCTTCCTTGGCTCAACCTGCATTCTCTTTGTTTCCATTTCTGACTGGATCGGTGGAGTCATGTGATTACACGAATGCTGCAGTGTCTGAAAGGGGAAAGAAATACCAGCCACCAGCAAAACAGGCAAAATTACGTTTATTTCTTTTACTGACATGGGAAAATTGTCGCTGGTTTTCCTAGTTTGTGACGGTAATGGTAAAATTGTAGTATATTGCCCTGACCTAGTCATCAGTATAATTATGGAGTCTGCTGCCACCCTCTGGTTTTAAGAGGGAACTGCTTTTTCCACCAAATAATGTAAAAGAATCTTAAAGTATTCCTGTGTCGGGATTATGATCTGGATTAACTCCAAAATGTAATGGATTGTTCCTTGGCATGAGATGCATCTCTGGTAAAAATAAAAATAAAAATCCTTTCACAGCTTTTCTAGTAATCCTGCTGACAAACTGCTGATACGACTAAAAACATAATCTCCTTGATGGAGGGAATAAAAGATTCCCAGAAAAGTAGAATCTTCTTTAAGTGATTAGAGGTTATGAAAATAAGGATCCTCTGGGGAGCTTTTTCCACACAATCCACATGGAGGTCAAAGGTCAGCCTGTCATCACTCGCTGGCCCCAGATACTTGTAGTGATTAGTAAATCAAATTTCTGTTTGCAGATTAGTGTAACTCCTCCTGAAGTCTGTGACCATCTCCCTAAGTTTCTGTTCTGTGTTGCAGCATCGGTGTCGGTACCAAGAAAAACACCTGAGTTACTACGGCAACCATTCACCCTGATCTGTTGCTGCTCAGGGAGCCTGGAGCATCAAAGGGAGGCCGGCAGCCAGGACCATGGTGGGAACTGTTGGAATCTGTTCGCCCCGGATGAGAAACCAGTAGCTCCGGGTTGGGTGCCGCCGGCTGTGGGCTGCTACTCTCACATGTGTCGCTTTGTCAGACAAAAGGCTTCCCACTGTTGCACGGCCACATGTGAGTTCACGTGGTTCGGTTTCTGCCAGATGCAGCCGACGAAGAACTACTGCAGGAAGGGACGGCGCCCGAGCAGGAGGCGGGGGCTAATGTCTTCCGTTAAGGGGGTGTCCCATCTGTCCAGGCGGGACAAAAGACGCTCCTATTATAGGATACAGTTCTGGCTGTGGAGGAAGAGGAGCGAGAGGTGCGGTTTTTGGATATTCCGTCGGAGTCGAAGGCGCGGCTCCGGGGGCCGTGCCAGCTCGGGCCCTCAGCTTAATTTGGAGTTGCAGGAAAGTCAAGTCCTCAAGTGCCCCTTAAAGAACAAAAAAAACTCAAAGGTAAGAACCCCAGCTCCGGTGTCGCCGCTCCAACATGATGCTGGAGGTTCTGGAGGGGCCTCTAGGGGTCGGAATTGTCTGCCGCCAGGGGGCCCGTCAGGCAGTGTCTCAGTGATTCGCTGTGGGTCGGATCTGTCTTCAGGGACCATCAGCGAGACAACCTCACCGACGTCAGCATCGCTCTCCCAGAGCAGTGAAGGCTCTCTGGAGCCTGAATGCATCTCCCACACTCTACCCCCCCTGCAGGAGGCAGAGAGTACTGCAGCTGCAGGGATTGAACCCGTTAGGTTACAGGCAGCGCAGACGGATGCTCCTTTAGAAGAGCACAGTCCTGTCCTTCAACACACCCCGACGGAAACGCCAACCTCCTGTCTGAATAATGCTGACATTAACAGTCTACCTAGAGAGATCCAAGGTGAGTCCGACGTTCCCTTCATGTGGTTTTATTAGGTTTCCACAGAGATTCACGGCATTCCAGCTAAAATACAAGTAAATTAATCTGCAATCTCTTTTTATAGCAGATATGCTGGTAAATATTTACATATTAATGCAGCTAGAGCTGGACACTGAACATTTAAAACACGGCTGCAAGATATTAGGAAATCATGCATTGATGGAGTTGCTTTTAAATACTGTTGAAAAGGCAGCCTTTATCCTCATGTGCTCATTTCAATGCATTAAATGCGTCTCATGACCTGTGGCATCTGTTTTTTTTTGGCGGAGGCTGATTATCCTTGCATAAAATGGCCTAACAGCTCTGCTTTTTACTCTGGGTTAGGGTTTATATTATAGGGGATATATTATTTGTTGAC